CTCTGGAGAAAGAAAAAGTAAAATGAGAAGTAGAAAAGAGTGTTAATTGAAAAAGAAAAATAGCATCTTATATATGATAGAAAAGGAGATAGGAAAGTGGACTAATGTGAAAAAAGATGTAAAGACAGTAGTAGTAAAGGAAGGAAGGTTGTATTTGAGACTGGACAGTGAGGAAGGAGAAAGGCTTTGTATCAATTATTAAAAAATAGTTAGGGTTGGGAAAGTTGTGAAGCAGGTTAGGGTGATAAAGCAGAGGTCCCCAACCACTGGTTCCCTGACTGGTGTAGCATGTGTGCAGGAGAGTTGGAGAAAAGATGTTTTTAGGAACTGCAGATTATTAAACAGGAAGTAAAAAGTAAAAACAGTAGAAAGGTTGGTTGGCAAATCTGTGGAGAGATTGAGGTGACAGTTTTTGAAGATTAAAATCTAATCCTGGAGAGGGAGAGATTGTCTGATGGATGGAGGAGGGTACTGGTACTGGTACTGTTTATGCAAGACATATTTGAACAGTTAGCATCAGAAAATGTTTTTTAAAAAATTTTGAAGTATAAATAGAAAAAAGAAACCTTGGTTATGTCAGGAAGAGAAACACCAGTGGGATTTTGTTTTACTTTTGCAGCTCTTGGCAAAGAAGTCAAGAGATTAAAAAAACAACAATTTAAAAAAAAATCTTAAATTATTCAGCTCAGAGACTAACAGAGAGACAAAGACTGGCTAAAACAGAAACTACAGACGGGAGATACTTATTGATGTCCGTGGGATGGAAAAAAAAAAATCTTTGATCGGCCAAGCAGACACTTACTAGTTACAAGTTGTTGTTTTTCTTTATTTCAAGGCAATGAATAAATCTATTACAACTTCGCTAAAGACCCTGAGCCTAAGGAGCTGCTCTCTGTTCAGCTGTAAATCCTTCAACAATTCTTCCTGTTAAGGTCAATGTTTTTTAAACAGCTAGTAATCAGATTGCATGTTAAATCACTGTAAACAAACGTTTATCCCTCATAACATCCTCTAGATTTTCATACATCTTTGGTCCTCTGGGGTTAAAATGAACACATGACAACACAAGGGCTAGTCCAGTTTCAAATCTCTTTACAAACTTAACTGTCCTTAGGTACTTGATTAGGATTTGTTGTACTTCTTACCTGGAGTAGTTTTTCTGAACCATCGTCTTCAGCTATTGTTGATTCTTGAGTATGTTAGTGATGTCAGAGCTCGGGTTCAAGAGAGTAAGAAGTGAAACCTTCAGTACTGATAACAAAGTTTTCTTTGGCGGTGAAACAACTTCAGCCAACTTTACTTCCGTCGCCTACTTCTACACTTTGAAAATGACCTAGATGACTGAAATCCTTCAGAGAGTTTCAGAACCAGTAACTTTCACAGGGAAACAAACTGGGCCCCACGGCAGCAGCCAGGACTCTGTTTAAAGTCAGGACAAGTATTTGATCTCCACTCAGGTTAGGATGTTGTTCAGTTATTAATTTAGTTCTTCAGTACTTCTGAATTGAGTGCTGTTAGGTCCTTACAAGAACAGTTGTCCAATCCCCCTCCTTCTCTCTCTCTCTGTGTCTCTCTATCTCTCTCTGCATCAGGAGATATGCTGTGTTTCTCTTTCTTTTTTCACCGTTACAGGAGCCTCACTAATTAGCTTTCAAGGCGCTGCCTTTGATTCAATTAAAGATAAAATGAACATGATACAGGAGAGTCACTGTAGCTGAATCAAAGCATTTAATGAAGTCACATGATTGTTATGTCTGTAAAATAGTTCGGATTTTATGTCAAGTGGTTTTTTATTCGTAGTTATTGTGTGTGCAAATAATCCTTTGTGAAATTAACAATTTAGACATTTGGTCTAAAGCAGGGGCCTCGAACTCCTGGCTATTGGGCCACCTTCGGTCCACTAACCACCCGCCTGTGTTCCCGCAACTAGATGTCAGTGAAATATAATCTGACCCCCGGCTCTAATGTTTTGCTCATTTGAGTAATCTGACCCCCGGCTCTAATGTTTTGTGTATGTTTTCTAATTTGTTTTATCGCCCCATCTTTTGGCTTATGAGCTGATTTGCGTACAAACGAAAAACACCAAAAATCTATTTAAACTTCCACCTCCAGTGCTCAATCTGAGGCTCTCAAGCCTAAATAAAAAGCTGCCAAAAACTTTTCCCAATCTTCAATTACCTATGGGTAACTCCTGTGTCCATGACACTGATTTGTGCCCTCATTCTCCTGTGTCCATGACACTGATTTGTGCTCTCATTATCCAAATAGAATCCTTCTCAAATAAATTATGACTTTTCTTTTCTCTGACAGCTACTGATTATTTGTGAGTGCCCTCTTATTAGCTCTCCTGCTGTAAATATCTCAGTAAATATTTCAGCAATGTGGCAAGGTTAATATTGGTTTGAGTGTGATGTAGGTTTAATATTTATGACTTTTTTCAGATTTTTCACTGCAGGTTGTTCTATTGAGTTTTGGAAGTTAGCAGAATTTGTTGCAAACTGTGCAAAAATAGCTGTCAGTAACAGATTCCAGCAAGTTTCATAATAGTGATCCCCACCTTATTGAATGCAGCATTCATCCAGAGAGTGACATCACAACAGGGACAGCTGGGACAGTTGTCCTAGTCTGAGTTTCCAGTACAGGACATATTTCAGTGTTATTCATGTAAGTCAAAAAGTCTGAGACAAATTGAAAAACTTCTTAATAGATATATAAATAATAAGCTTTACATATATTTAGAATCCCTTCTCCATGGACTTCTGGGTTTAGTCTCCAACACCAGGTTTTTTCCTCGTCTAAGAAGTAACATCCTACTCCTTTCAAATGTCCATACAATTTAGTTTAGTTTTAGAGTAAAATCTATCTCTACATATATATACTTATATATCCAATTATGTACAGTATACATACATACATATGCATATACAGTATATATATATATATATATATATATATACTGTATAAATACAAACAAATGTATTTGTATGTATGTATGTATTTATTTATATATTTATACTAAAACATAGGTATGTTTTATATATATATATAGTTTTAGGAATTAATAAGCCAAAGAACTTCAGATGTACTTCTTTTTTGAAAATATATTGCTTACATGGCTGCATTTGGGTATTTTTACACTCACACTACACACGTAGTGACGTATGGTATGGTATGGATGTAGGGCAAAAGTAGACCGTTAGTTATGAAAAGAAACTGTTTCTACAACCCAAAACATTGTTTACGATATTCACAGAGTTTATGACATTGGTCCCATATTTTTAATGAGTAAAATACTTATTCTTGGTGTTTTTATGGAAGATAGACCTCAATCTGACCCTAAAGTCTGGACCATATTTTCCTCTTCTGGAGCCCCCTCTCCCAGCCCTTTTTGTTTGTGGGACTTACTCATCAAAATATGAACTTTGCCTGCAGTGTTTCCTAGCCTGTCCTTTGGAGGTTCAGTACAGTTGTTATTCTGATACAGCCTCATGTCTTTCTGCTGCTTATATTAAACAAACAGGATGAGGGAGTTGGTGTATCCTCGCAGAATCCCCTTTCTGGAGATGCTGCTGGTTGGTTATGAATAAAAGACCTGATGGGATTCTGAGCCCAAACCCTCCCCTCGCTGAAAAAGCCCGAGGCGCCACCTGTGTGGATGAATAGGTGTGTGAGACACACTTGCCTTCCACATACATGAGGGACATTTTCCTGAAATGATTGAGGAGCCGCCTTCCTTAGGGGAAACCCGGTTCCATTTTCAAACTTGATGGAACTGTTCTTTTGACTTTGATATTCCTTTTTTACACCACCTCTGGGAAGGTTTAAAATTTGTTCTGAAGGTGTCAGAAGTAATTCTGTATCTGAGAAAATTAAATCTTTACATGGGTAATCTTACTCTTTGATTAAAAAGGCTAGTATCCTTTTTTTCTTCTTGAGCAATACTGTCTTTTTTTGCATTATTAACAAGTCACATCTGATTAAATAGCTAGTAAATTAGGATAAACCACTCTTGTGGACCTGAAAGGATTTGCAAAAGTCTAATAACTTCATCATTTGGCTTTAAAGCACTTATATTCCTGTTGGTTGGAGATAAAATAAAAGCATTACAGCTGTTCATTGCACGTACTTTAAACCAACCCTTCGCTTCAGCACTTTAGCCTTAAAACACCATTGAAAATGACTTCAAAACAAAACACTACAGAACTCAAAGTTTGCTACAAATTTACACTGCTAGCTTCAAAACTTCATTGAATTTTAAGTTCTACTCAACTCATGAATAAGAGAAACATGATTACAAATCAGTGAAAATATTTTTGGCCATTAACCCTGCAGTGGCAGCACATTGGCTCGATTACAAATCAGTGAAAATATTTTTGGTCATTCACCCTGCAGTGGCAGCAGCGCATTGGCTGTGTGCCCCTTGATGGAACCTGCCCCCCACTTTGGGAACCACTGCTCTGTACTGACAATTACAGTAACACGTGTGTGTGTGAGTCTTTAGAAAGCGACGTCTTTTCGATCAAACTACTCTCTACAGTGCGTAAATCCTTCACTCTGAAGAACTGTATTACAGTTAGAGACTGCAGTACAGGAGAGTTTCTGATTTTTTAGAATTTCCACACAGCAGCGTTGAAGTATTAGTATTTTATTTGCTCAAATCTCTCGTAAAATGCAGTGAATCCAACAGATTCGTCTCAGTGTTTGACATTGAAGTCTGGGTTAGGACAGTGTCTGAGGTTCATTTTGTGTGAAGAATCCACACAGTTTGAGTCCAGTGGTGCGAGTGAGATAGTGAACAGACAAACATTCACACCTGTGGTCCATTTAGTGTGAACGCTTAACCTA